TATATATATATATATATATAAGAAAACTATAGAAGCACTGCCTAGCGCTCCGCAGCGTGCACTGCTTGGGTGTTTCTGAAAAATTCCAACGCGATTCTTAAAAAAAGCGTTGCTCTCTCTCTCTCTCTCTCCCCCTAAAAACTCATCTCTCCCTAAAAACTCAAATCCCCAATTTTCTCAATCCATCTTCCTCCTCCTCTCGATCTCTCTTTTACGAGCTCCAGCTTATTAGTTTTGTATGTCACATCAAACACAACAACATCACTGAATTGCAAATAAGACGCTCTTGATCTTCCGTCAGCCCAGAAAACACTCCTTATTTGTCCACTACTGTCCACTTCTATTGCAAAATAGAATTCTGGATCATTCGCTGTCATACTCTGAAAATGTCGAATGACGGATATGCATTCATGGCCAATATTGTTGACTCTTTGGTATCTGATGTGATCAATACACTGTTGTGGTGTCACTAATGCGCCTTCTCTTCCATTGGTTGCATTAATGATACGAGAAATAGTAGATGAAGGCTTACCTTCTTCTTGCAGACTCTCAATAAGTTTTTTACAACTTTGAGTTTTATGGAATTGTTGGTGTGATCCTTCTTGCAGACTCTCAATAAGTTTTTTACAACTTTGAGTTTTATGGAATTGTTGGTGTGATCTGTGCATCTTTGCTTTGTCTGGACTACTCAACAGTTGGTGTGATCTGTGCATCTTTGCTTTGTCTGGACTACTCAACACATGATTTGTATGTTCTTCAACAAATCCCGTGACCTCCCACGATTTGTCCTCCTATACTTTAACTCTCATTATTGCCTTACATCCCACTCGGGTCTCTCGCCGAAAAGGCATCTCCATCTTGTCTCTATTAGATCTATAGCCCTCCTGATCACAAACAAACTTTCTGTCTAGCACGTCTCATGTCTTCTTCGAGTAATTTACCGTGCTCTTCCTTATTCCAAAACCCATCAACAATGCGTAATAGTTATAATAGTTATAAGCTTCTTCATAAGTATTAAATTTCATTCCGAGTAGTGGCTTAGGAGCATTTTCTGTATTGGCAAGATTTTCAATTCCACTAGCACTTGATTCTCCCATTTCGAACACTTTATTTGTTGTAAAAGAAATGCATGGATTCATCAAGAAGAAACTATAAAATACCCAAATAAATACTTCAGTTTAAAATCTCAAAACAATCTAGTGTAAATCTACTATAGTCACCAGAATTAAAATGTCTAAAATGCCCATGAATGAAATGCCTCGGCCGCAACCATGCCCTCTCTAATTATAGTTAGGATCAGAATAGGTTTAGGGATTTATTAATTTATTATTAATTAATTTAGTTTAATTTGTTAATTAGAATTATAATCTGAAAAAGGATAACCTGGATATTTTACCATTTCATATAGCACCAATATGGGTGTTAATTGCAAAAAAAATCTCAAACTTAAAGTGGTCTTCTGTAACACCCCAAATTAAGGGGGCTTATTTCATAGTTTTAAACTCAAATGGGTTTATCTGATGGTATATTTTATAGTTTGATGGTATATTTCTCCCAATTCACATAACATATCATAGGAACAAATTTGAAGTAACGATATGAATGGGGATACTACATTGCAGTTCCAATGATATATAGAGATAATTTAAAAATATAAAATTCCAAGTGACAAACATCTAAAAAATCCTGAAGGATAATGATGTGTAGAATGGATGAAAAGGATTCTTAGAAATTTCAAGCTACAAAGTGATAAACAACCAACAATCAATTAAAATCTCTTTAGTTGTTAGAAACCAGTTATATGTGTGTTACATTAGTGGATTCAATTGACAAATTGTGCTAGTTTGAAAGTGATGCCACCAAAAGGGTAGTCCATCAAGTGTAGGAGGTGAATATTTAAGAGATTAAAAAAGAAAGAAACATTTTCTAACACATTTTGATACTGATGAATGAACTTGCTAATACCCAGAGTTTGTAAAGGAACTGAGGTCGTATGGAAGTTTTTTGCTTTAAAATAATCATACAGTAGGTGATTTTACAACGATTATGACAATATGCTAACATCTTGAAGATGAATTCCACTACGCATAAAAAATTGAAATTTTAAGTGCATGTCATTTTACTACTTCCCATAACTTTAAAGAGAGAAGCAAGGGAAGAAGGAATGCACGCCAAAATAGTTCCTTCTTGATCAAAATTTTATTAACAGCAGTTCCTTTCTTGTCTTAAAACTTATTCTATGATGATCAAAATTTCAAAATAAAAAATGACCTAGATCGGCGGACTGGATCACGAGGGAGTAGGGATTCGTGGCAGGTGGTGGGGGATTGGATCTCGTGGAGGAGGAGCTCACGCACGGTGGAAGGGGAATGGATCTCATGGAGGAGGAGCACCTTGTAGCTCGTGGAGGAGGGAGATCGAACGAGGAGGATTGGGGGACTGGATCTCGTTGAAGTAGGGGGCGACGTGTGTGAGATCTGAGAGAGATCGAGAAGGGGACTGGAGCTCATAAAAGAGATATCGAGAGGGGGAGGAAGAGGGATTGAGAAAATTAGGGATCTGAGTTTTTGGGGAGAGATCTGAGTTTTTGGGGGGAGAGAGAGCAGCATATTTTTCGAAAATCACGTTGGAATTTTTCAGAAACACCCAAGCAGCGCACGCTGCGGAGCGCTAGGCAGTGCTTCTACAGTTCATCTCTCTCCTGCTCTTCGGTAGTGGGTGGGTCTGCTGCTCTTCTCTCTCTCTCTATATATATATATATAATATATATATATATTAATTTATATTATATATATATATATATATGATATATTGACTATATATAGTATATATATATATATATATATATATATAATAGTATATATATATATATATATATATAATATATAGAGGAGAGAAGAGAGAGAGAGAGAAGAGAAGAAAACTTCATGTCAACTTAAGTGGACGTCCACAGTAAGTTTCTTAGTCATTGGATGATCACTTGATTGAGCACATTATGGATGATCATGCTCCGTTGAACTTGAATCTACATACTTCTAAAGGCCTAACACACGCAAATTAGGTGTAACGTCATTATGTTTACCATTGTCGAGCGCATGTAAAAAGTTCTATTATGTCGAAATCCGTTAAAATTAATAACGAGTATTATGAACGGTTCAAAACGTACGATGGGTTCACCTCAAAATTGGTGTGTTGGGGTTTTAGAATATGTAGTATCAAGTTCAACGGAGCGGATCATCCATAATATAGCTCCAATCAAGTGATCATCAGTGACTAAGAAATTTTAGGTGGAGCGTCCACTTAAGTTGACATAAGTTTTTCTATATATATATATATATATATATAATATATAATATATATATATTATATAATATATATATATATATATTATATATATATATATATTATATATATATATATATATATATATATATATATATATATATATTATTATATATATATACTATTGAAGAAGAAACGAACCTGAAGCTTTGTGGCTCGCCTATGGGCGAGGGCTTGGACAGGCAAGGAGATCGCCCTACGTGTGTAGATTGCGCCTGAGGGTTGGATAGGTGAGGATCTCGCCTGATTGTGAAGGTCTAAAGAGTGGCGAGTCTGGAGAGGCGAGGTGAGGATGAGCTCACCTGAAGTGCAGCTGAGCTCCCCTACGTGGGAATCGGAGCTCGCCTGTGAACGCATCTCGCCTACGTAGAGTGGATGCCAGTTAGAGCGCACTAATGACCTAGGGTTTCCCTATAAAAGGGAAATCCGGTTCACGAACTAAGAAGAGCAAGCAGGGAGCAGAGCAATTTTCATGGAGGTGGCAGGGATTGTTTTTCCCTTTCACGATTTTGAGCCTCATTTGTCTCGTTCCCAAAAATTAAAGAGGGGGTTGGTGAAATTAAAGAATGGGGTTTTGGAGTAATTATTTTGAGAGAGTTTGAGCGGTGATTTTAGATTAAAATCACCTGCTATTTGATTTAGAGATCTCAAGTTTGAGATCTTCTCTCTTATTTGTAATTTCTTATTATTAATAAGAAATTATTTGTGTTACTCCTGTGGACGTAGACAAATTTGCCAAACTACATAAAATTTGTTGTCTTGCATTTATGATACTTGTTATGGTTATTGTTTGTTCTTTAATCTTGTTTGCAATTATGTGCCTTCGATTCTGCTACGTACAACAAGTAGTATCAGAGCTCCGGGTCTAACTTGGGGTTTGATTTGGAGAAGAAAGCTAGGGCTTGGATTCTTGTTTGAAGAGATTGGATTGTCAAGATAACCAAAGCAAATACATTGGGATCGTCTCTGTCGAAGGTGATACAAGGGTTGAGCATTAATAATACAAAAATTGATGTTCAAAATTTTGATGGCAAGATAAACTTTAGTTTGTGGAGGTGTCAAGTGATGGATGCATTAGATGTCCAAAATTTGGAGGAGACTCTTGAATTATAAGAGAAGCCCGAGGATATGGAGGATAAGGTTTGGAAGAAAATAAATAGTAGAGCATGTGGGGTTATAAAATCATGTTTGATGCTGAATTTGATCTATGATGTGATGAACGAGACGCCGGCGAAGCAATTGTGTGAAACACTCAATGAGAAGTATTTAACGAAGAGCATTGAGAATCAGCTTCATTTAAAGAAGAGGTTTTACCAATTCAAAATAAAGAGGGGAGTTTCTATTAGATAACATGTCAATAACTTCACAAAATTACTATCGGATATGGCCAATGTGGATGTCATGATAGAGGATGAAGATAAGACAATGTTGTTGCTATGTTCATTGCCAGAGGATTGTTAGACCCTAGAGGGGGGGTGATTAGGGTATTATGCTAATCTAATTCCAATTAATAGCAATTAAAATTATGTTGATCAATATGTTCTTGCAAGAGATAGATATGAACAATAAGAACAATAAGAATAATAAGAATATGCACAAATAAAATATGAGACAAGTAAAACACAAACACACGATATGTTTACGAGGTTCGGTCCCCACGACCTATGTCCCCGCTCCTCACCTCGAGGAGATATCCACTATCACAATCCGGTTTGGAAGCCGGAACTTCTACACACTCGGTTTACAAGTTCACCGAAAACTCTCACACTACACAATCACTCAACAATCACACTTTACACACTAAGTGTAGGAATCTAGCTCGTGTCCTCCTCCTCAAGTGCTCGATTACAACCTCTCCCTAGGTTCGTCAATCGACGCCACTCCTATTGGATTTAACCCCGTCTCTCTCTCCTCACACTTCTCTCGGTGTACAAATGTATTACAAGTGATTCTTACAAATAAAAGTTAAATACAAGAATTTGTTCTCAATTAACAAATGAGAACTCAATGAAGCTCACACTCACTAAACCCACACCACAACCCACAATATAATATGAGAATATAAAGCTCAATAAGTGTGTGTGATAATAGTGAATGAAACTCAATAAATATAACTCAATGAATATAGCTTAATCAATTGAAAGTGAAAAAACAAGCTATATAAGAATGGGTATAGAAAACTTCTCAATGAACAAGAAGAGCTGAGGAGATAATGATCTCAATAAGATTTGAAAGCCTCTTCTTATTGTAGAAAAACTTCTCTTGAAAACTGATTAGCGAAACCAACTCTTAAACAGCTCTTAAACGCGATTTATATTTTGTTAAACAACAAACTTGGATTTCTTAGTTGTTAGAGAAGAAGAGCAGCAATGGGGTATATATAGCACCCCATTACAACAGCTAAAAATAAGAAAAAGACCAAAAAGCCCATTTGAAAAACTAGCCGTTAGGCTCAGTTTGTCAACTCGTCGGTCGACCGGTACGGTCGACCGATTAGTTCAAAAACCCAGAGAAAACATGTTTTGAAGCAGGCGGTCGACCGACGTGAATTTCGGTCGACCGAATGGATATTTCGGTCGCCCGACGGAAATTCCGGTCGACCGGAAAATACTCAAAGAAATTCTCAGAAAACAGACTACCGTCGGTCGACCGTATCGGTCGACCGAAATCTGATATGTGTAAAATGACAGGTTTTGGGTCAGTTTTGAGAATTCGTTAAAAATATCAATTCATATCGGTTTTGGGCAGTTTTTGGAAATTCGTTAAAAATATCAATTCATATCCAAAAATAGTGAAACTTTGGGGAAAGTTTATAAATGATGAAATGAACATGTTTGAAAAGGAATTTTTGGAAAAACAAATTTCGTTTGTGAAAACTACCTGTTTTTGAAGAATGCTTAGAAAACCTGTATTTTTATGAAAGTGAAATTTGAAATAGGACTTGTAAATATTCATATATGTATTGTGCATAAATTATATGTATATAGCAAAGCGTGAGGAGCTGTAAACAAGAGATAAAGATATTTTAACAATATTATACTTACTGGTTAACGTGCTATACTTACTGGTTAACGTGCTATACTTACTGGTTAACGTGCTATACTTACTGGTTAACGTGCTATACTTACTGGTTAACGTGCTATACTTACTGGTTAACGTGCTATACTTACTGGTTAACGTGCTATACTTACTGGTTAACGTGCTATACTTACTGGTTAACGTGCTATACTTACTGGTTAACGTGCTATACTTACTGGTTAACGTGCTATACTTACTGGTTAACGTGCTATACTTACTGGTTAACGTGCTATACTTACTGGTTAACGTGCTATACTTACTGGTTAACGTGCTATACTTACTGGTTAACGTGCTATACTTACTGGTTAACGTGCTATACTTACTGGTTAACGTGCTATACTTACTGGTTAACGTGCTATACTTACTGGTTAACGTGCTATACTTACTGGTTAACGTGCTATACTTACTGGTTAACGTGCTATACTTACTGGTTAACGTGCTATACTTACTGGTTAACGTGCTATACTTACTGGTTAACGTGCTATACTTACTGGTTAACGTGCTATACTTACTGGTTAACGTGCTATACTTACTGGTTAACGTGCTATACTTACTGGTTAACGTGCTATACTTACAGGTTAACGTGCTATACTTACAGGTTAACGTGCTATACTTACAGGTTAACGTGCTATACTTACAGGTTAACGTGCTATACTTACAGGTTAACGTGCTATACTTACAGGTTAACGTGCTATACTTACAGGTTAACGTGCTATACTTACAGGTTAACGTGCTATACTTACAGGTTAACGTGCTATACTTACTGGTTAACGTGCTATACTTACTGGTTAACGTGCTATACTTACAGGACTTGGCATTTCTATCAATATATTCAACATTCCCAGCACATACAACATACAACATTGCATTGCCACAGAACATACATACAACATACCATATTTCCAGCGCATACAACATTTCCAGACTATCTACATACACCATACAACATTAACCTGTCACAGAACTTGGCATTTCTATCAATATATTCAACATTTCCAGCACATACAACATACAACATTGCATTGCCACAGAACATACATACAACATACCATATTTCCAGCACATACAACATTTCCAGACAATCTACATACACCATACAACATTGCATTGCCACAGAACTTGGCATTTCTATCAATATACATTTATACAAATACGTCACAAATCAATTTCCAAAATATATTTGTACACAAAAAATATTGGATATCACAATTGGCAATGTAGCATCCTGACAAGAACAATACAACACACTGAGTATAAGTGGATCAAAAGAACAAATATGGCATGTAGCATTCTTGAGGGTCATGATGGTTGATTTCCTGAAAGCAACATGTAAGTGGATCAAAAGAACAATACAATGAATATAGCGTTTGAATGAACATTAAACGTATAAAAAATGTACCTTCAGATAGAATTAGAGCAACAATGCGAGCTCTATGTCTTGCACAATCCTTCTGGTGAATTGAAACTGGAGACCGGAAACGAGGCTAAACATGTACGCCATCAAGAACACCCCGCAATCCATACTACTGCAAGTTTAAATGTTTGCAACATCAATATAACACTCTTGGCCCGCAATATATACTCTCTATGTGAGTGTTAGCACATTAAAAAACAACATATGAATAAGTCGAATACACTAACCCACGTTGTTGCGGTACATCAACACTTTCTACCTCCTGACAAGAATTAATGTCTAAGTTCCAAGCATCGGGAATGGTAGAAATAAGCTTCACTCTAAACTCAATAGCATCGGACATATACCCGCGGAGGGAAGAATAATGATAATCTCCTATCCTTTACAGAGAATACCAACATATGCCAATGATATGAAGTTAGGAGTGGGAAAATAATCTTATCAAGTTCTTGGAAGCGACTTGACGTTATTGGCCTAAACATTCGATCCACACTTGACGGTTTATTTTCGTTGATGCATCTCTAAAAAAACAAAGAAAGTCAAGAGTAAGTATTTAATATAGCTTATGAATATTACTTACAATCTTGAATTGGATTTCTACTTACGGTTACCCAAGGACTACATATGTGTATGTCCTTCGCATAGGTTGCATGTGTCTCCATCAACCTATTCAGAAGCACAACATAGGCGGCTATAACCTGAAATGTAGATATGGCAGTCCAATGATGGGTTTTATTAGCTAATGCAAAAACAATGATTCATTCTAGTAACATCCTTGCATTGAAACTTATTGAGATGAATGTTCAGCTAGATAGGTTGATGGTATTTAGTAATTTTAATTTCTGCTAGCATTGTTTTTTTGTGAAGGTTAGCTATAGCTACATTGTTAAATTACCGCTGAGGGGATTTCATGAAATTTTGCTTCTTTTTTTTAACATCATCATCAACATTACATTTATTTCAGGGGTCCATCATCTAGAACATTGATGAAGTGAGTGTGTAGTCACTTTTGGTTGAGCTCACTGTAGATGCTGATGCTTTTCGTGAAGTGATTGGAAAAGGGGCGGGCATGACATTTGCTTGATTTGTATATCTTCACTGGCCACATGATCAAATGCTATAGGGAAAAAAAGTGGGAAAAAAATCATGGACAGCATGCACTAGTAACCCAATTATAACCAGTAAGCTACCAATCTACATAGCACATATCTAGTTGTACTTAATGCTAATAATACTTACGTCGCAACCAATTTCCTCTCCTGTAAGTAACTCCAACGCATCCTTGCGTGTGATCAACGCATCTCTACATGACCACACTAATGTCCCACTACATATGAAACAAATTTAGAACATGTATTAATGAAAAATCTTAGTACAAGTGGAAAAGTAGATAAGTAGATCATTCAAAATACACTTACGCGGCCATATTCTTCTCCTTCCAAAAGTTATCAAGTAGTTCTCTCTCCGCATCCAAAACTTCCTTCCTTCCCGGATAATTTGGTCGTCCTTTTTTACTAACAAGCGAAACAAAAGGAGACCGCATTGATGGCCCAGCATGCCGAGATCTAGAGAGAACTGTTCTTTTGATGGAAGGGGTTTTACGCATGCCTTCAAGCAACCCAACATCGCGCGGGCTAAGAATAAAGGCGTCGTCATCCACTTCCATTGAATCCTTGCCCACTTCATCATTCCCACCATCATCACCTTCATCTTTATCTACATTGAAGCTATCAACATCTTTACCAACCTCATCATCCCCGCCGACATCCTCCTCCATATCTCCAACATTCCCCTCCTCATCCTCCTCATTCCCACCATCAACTCCCTCCTTAACCTCCTCATTAGCCCCCTCTGCATCCTCCTCCTTCCCCTCATTATTTCCCTCCTCATCCTCCCCATTCCCCTCATCATCCCCGCCGACATCCTCCTCCATATCTCCAACATTCCCCTCCTCATCCTCCTCATTCCCACCATCAACTCCCTCCTTAACCTCCTCATTAACCCCCTCTGCATCCTCCTCCTTCCCCTCATTATTTCCCTCCTCATCCTCCCCATTCCCCTCATCATCCCCCTCCTCGTTTCCATCGCCATCATCACCATCATCACCATCATCCCTATCGTGCTCATCCTCATCCTCATCATCATCCTCATTTCCTCCATCGCTATCATCATCCTCTTCATCCTCACCAAATCTTTCCCTCCTGATCTCCAACAGAAGGTCTAATTCCATTCTTTTTTGGTCTAATTTCACCCTTTTTTCAGCTATGAGCTGATCCAACCCAGCTTTGGTGATTACCTAGACATAAATAACCCAAGTAAAGTTCAATTCATGGATGAACATCAAATACAAATCATGGATAGCAATTAACTAACATGGAAATTAACAAAAAATATATATACCTCTCTCTCTTTCTTCAATCTTGTAGGTGCAGTGGAGGTAGTCGCAGCTTGTCTCTTGGCAAATTTGTTAGCCCTTGAGTCAACACCTTCCTTCCTAAAATTATCGGGGTCTCTAATTAAATCTTGAACCGCACTCCTCCGTAAAGACCCCGGACCCTTGTGGAAGCTTAGGATAGGTGGTAGAGATTCGGCTCCTACACGAAGGCGTAATTGTCCCACAATCTCATAAAACCAAACCTGTGAGAAAAGGAAAATTTTAGCTCAACAATAAACACGACAACATGAAATAAATATGTTAAATGTATACTAATTTTAGCTCAACAATAAACATGACATAAAAATGTAGTAAAAGCTAACTCACCATCAAAACCGAGGCAAAACCGCCCATATAACCACCTCTAGATCGATTTCCCTCAAATCTCTTGATGATGGTTTTCTTAGCCTTATTCATTTCGGTACACAACACATTGTATACTAATTCAGCCCAGTTATACTCCTTAAGAGTGCCCAAGTTTTCAGCGTATCTAAATGCAAACAAGGGACAACTCATACTCGCTTGGGGACATAATACAAAGCCTATAATGAAAGCCACTATCATCTGTGGCAAAAGAGGATCTCTACGTTCGGCCATTTGCTTGATCAGCTCACCCATCCTATCTCTTCTAGCACTTGCAATCTTCTTCTTACTCTCATCAATTTTCTTCTTACCTCTTCTCGTCATACGTTTCTTGTCTTCTTCAATTTCAGCCGCGGTACTATATGAAAGCACAAGCTTGTAGATCGTGCTACGATCACTTCTATGAAACCGCGTGTCCACTATAGATCCTCTCATCGGAAGACCCGTGATTCTCCCCACTTCTTCAACATCAAAGGAGGTCCATTTTCCTCCAATTCTGAAACTACTTCTTTTGACATTATATACTCCCAACAAGCAATCAACAATAACTGGTTGCATTGGAAGAAAAAAAAAAATCGACGAAAACACAGCCAACGCTCTTGCAAATCAATACCTGAAACGATGAGTTCGACGGCAATGATGACGACAATGTCGACTGCGAAATCCGTCGGCGGCAAGGGGACAGCGAGATAGACGGCGCGATCGACGACAACGGTCTGGGACTTGGGTCGCGGCTGCGGGCGACGGTCTGGGACGGTCGATAACGCCTACGGGCGACGGCCTGGGTCAGGCGACAGCTGCTGCGGGCTGGAGCGGGCGAGATCGGGGTCGCGGCGAGAGCTAATGTCACGGCGGCCTCGAGCGGCTGGAGCGGGCGACAGCGAGATCTGGATCACGGCGGGTGGAGCGGGCGACGACGGCGAGATCTCGGTCACGGCGGCTGGAGCGGGCGACGATAGCTGGAGTTCTCTTTTTCAATTTAGGGCTGAGGTGAAATAGGGATTTTGAGGAGAGAGACGTTGATATGGGGAAAGGGGGTATTTTGGGGTTTTTGCCTTGATTATGTATAAATACTACTGCTGAAAGTATTGTATTTTGGATTTGGGTTTAAAGACAAATACAAAAAGAAATTTGGGCTTAGAGATACAACCAATACTACTTGGGTTTAAAAATAAAGGGAGGTAAACTATTGGACCTAAAGACAAAAAGCCCTATAATGAATCCCTAGAAATTATGAACAAATTAATAACAAGAGTAGCTAATGAACAATTAAAAAAAAGGAAATTATTAATGAGAGAATTATTAATGCTGCAAGCACAATTTCAAGAGGAAATTGGAAGGTTGCGTGCACAATTAAAAAAGGAAGTTGGAAGGGAGAACGGGAGATAAGGGGCTGTTTGGTTGTTGTTGGTAAAGTTGTGTATGATACAAATTGGAAAGTTGTTGTCCACCTCATCAATTTTACTTTTATACTTTTGTTTGTTTGTTTTTTATTCCATTGGAATCATAAATTGCTTGTTTGGTTTGCAAATATAACTTTAATTGTTTGTTTGAAAAGTGTAAAAAGTGGTCCCTACACAAATGATCACATTGGTTGGAATTATTTTTTATTATTTTTTCTTGATTTTAATGTCAGCTTTCTCCTAAAATCATGTTTTTTTTATAAAATCACTTTACAAGCCACATCAGCATATGAAATCAATTTACACTATTTTCACAACTACAAACAAACAATTGAAAGTGATGAAAGCTGACATTGGGACCCAATTTTTTACATGATAAAAACATACAACCAAACTGGTTTGAGTTTTAGTGTTGGATTGGAAACATGAGCAGAGTAGATGAATGGCTATTTAAGAAGCCGATGAGGCAGGGATATAAGATTTTAGACGGTGAAATAATTGAGAGGGGAGATTGTTTGGGAGCTCGAGAGACCTAAATAAAGACAATTTTTTATTTAGATAAGCAATTAAATAACATTTTTAAAAAAATTAATTTTTAAAAAAGAAAATTGCCAAGTGGTAAATGCAACTAGTTTCAGACCCGTGTAATGCACGGATTTTTTTAAAAGTATTATTGAAAGTTTGAAGTATTTGAATAATTACCAATAAATTACATATAAAACTAAAAACTTAGTACACAAATTTTGTAGTTTCAGATGTGTTTCGTTAAGTAAGAGCTCTTCCCATGAAGAGGAAAAGGAAAAAAGCAAAGATCCAAATATAGATAACCTATAGCGTTTTACATGGAATCCAAAGCTGCAAAAAGATAAGACAAAAATAAAAAATATCTTTTCACTATATAATTACATATTCCAAAAATATTCAATTTGAAACAATATGTGAGTAGTAGATTTATTTATAATAATTGAATAATCATATGGGAGGATGGCATGCCTTCTTATACAACAAATTAACTTCTTTAAACAAACAATGACAACAAATATTTATAACTGCAAATAAGAAATGCGTTTTAGAGTATAATGTACATAACTTTATTTAAAAAAATAGAATTGTTATGTTAAAAAAATAGGGACCTAAAAAAAGAAAATAGTTTACTAAGATAGATGGTTTATGGGGAAAAATTATACATTGTACAAACAATAAGAAAATACTTTGTCCACAAACAATAAGATGAATAGTCATAATGGGCAATATCTGAAT